AGTCAGTCTACGTCCCCATCCTTACCTATGGTCATGAATCTTGGGTAATGACCGAAAGAGTGCGATCGCGAGTACAAGCTGCAGAGATGAGATTCCTGAGGGGTGTTGAAGGTGTCACGCTACTCGACAGAGTTCGTAGCACAACCATAAGGGGATCTCTACATGTCGAGCCGCTACTTCTCTGGATTGAGAGATCGCAGTTGCGTTGGTAAGGGCACCTAATCCGGATGCCACAGGAAAGGATTCCCAGACAGCTTCTGTTTGCCCAGCCTGGTGGGAAGAGACCAGTGGGACGACCGAGAACTAGGTGGCTAGACTACATAGAAAACCTCGGATCTTCACGCTTGGATCTACCCACCCGACAACTACGCCTGGTGGCGGAAGATCGTCCCCAGTGGAAGTCCGCCTTAGAGCGTCTGCTCCCACGACCCTAACGGACAGTGGGACAAGAAAATGGATGGATGGATGGATTTTGGTGCAAATTCGTTACAAAACGAACTCAGCCTGTATCTAGTTCATTTCTACTTGCTTGGCAATTTTGGCACTGATTAGGCCAATATTTTGTTAGTTATCGTCGGACAACCAAAGTGTGACACACGGACGGACAGGACGGGACCTTAAGTGGTCTCTTTCGTTTCACGAAAGAAGGCCAACTAAAAATGCACCCACACAAGTGTTTGAATGACCTACGACCCATCTACGCGACCAGCTTCTCCCGCAAGACAACGGAGAGGATAATCCTGAAACGAATGAAGAACGTCTGAGAGAATTACTCTTTCCTGCGGCGTTCCTCAAGGTACCTGCCTCTTAGTCACGTTTTCGATCTTACATATGCGCTACAGATCAGCTAGTTTGCCTCCATCACGACGTACTGCAGGGTTGCAGGATATCAATAGTAAAAAGGACTTTCTAGCTTTTTTTTCAATATTCGCGGTTCGTCTTCTCAGGAATGTTTGTAACTACAATGAAGCAGTAGTGGACTTCGTGGAATATGCCATCACGCTTTCCTTATTATAAGCCCTACCAATCTATGCTGGATATTTGACCGAGGAAAGCAAACGCTCGCTTTTGAAATTGCTGCGCAGGCTTGCCGCTGTATCCAACACGAACAACAAGGTATATATTACCAACTTTGTCGAGAAGGTAAATTCTCGAGGTACTGCCTTGGCAATGAGCATTTCAAGAAGTGCAAATCATCCTTTGAGACCAGACACACAAAAAGCCATTAGACAACGGAGTGGTACTGTTACAAGAACTGGTATTCACCATCCAAAAGCCATCAACGTTTTAAAAAATCAATTTTGTATGTATTTCTGTCTAAAAGAGACCTTGTCTCTTTGACCTAGAGTTGTATACAGACTTGTTTGTATTATCTTGGGTTGTGCTTTTCGCAAGGTGTCTGACGACCAGAATCCATGGAAATAAAAAAGCAATTAGTTCAATTCAATTTTTTTTTCGGCGTCACTCTATCTCTTAACCCTTTTAGTGCCAAGGGAACGATCGTCTTTTTTAACCAAAGAATCGGCTGCATGGCACTGAAAGGGTTAATATGGTCTGGAATGCACTGAGACACTCTTTTATAACTTTTGAAATTCCCAGCAGCTGATGGGATAGGTAGCATCTTATCTCACTGAGATAACATTCAGGGTGACAGCATTATTTGCCGAGGTTCGCTTCTCAACCGTGGGTGTTCCGCAAGGCCTCTTCTTTTCATTCTCGATGTTCATGACCATTCTGCTCCTATAAACTTAAAGTACTCATCAGCCGATCAGCGACAACACCGCCCAATGGCTTTCAGCAATAGATAAAACTACCCTTGAATCGTGAGCCCAGGCTGCTCTTGAGAAGCTCTACAATTGTTGTCGGTATTTACGAATTAGCAGGAACAAGTCCACATTCCTTCGCTTCGCCCTCCACGGAAGACTCTACCACGGAAGCGTCCACTTGAACAAAGGGCTTACCCGGCCGTCGCTCATTACCCATTTACAAGGCGTAACCTTTGTTGGTCATCTTACCTAGGTATATGGAACAAGCATGTTAAAGTAATCTGCACCAACATCCTCCGGCATCTCAAGGCTCCTCTTACATCAAATGCGACTAGGCCTACCCAGTTCAACGAAATCTTCTTTACTGAGTGGTCAAGGTTTCGTCTTCTCTTTTCGATGCAAGGACATGACCAAATATACTTCTGAGTTAGGCAAATATAGACGAAGTGCAATTCAGTGCAGAGATTCATGTGAATCCATGAAATCCCAACATCACAAGGTTTCTTTCACTGAAACATTTTAAAATATCATCCCACGAAATTAGGTAGCACGTTGCAAAGCAAGAAAGAGTTAAGTTGTTTCTCACCAGCACAATCTGCTTTTCATGAAGAAACTGAGCTTCAATGGTATTGTCCCAACTCACTTTTGATGACCAATGATTCTTGATCCTTTGATCCAAGTAGGGTGAAGTACTCGCTTGGTTTTCTCACAACATCTCCAGTCAGTGTTTTCACTGACAACACCAAATACCCAAACATAATGATCTCCAAAAAAAACAAAAAAAAATCTTGAGAATTTTTCTGACAACATACCAATGACTTCTATGAACCCACTATAAGTGCTATTGGACTCCAGTGGACCATCTTCAACCACGTGGAAAGAAGTGGGAGTGTTCGGTGTGTAGCGGCGATTTCGTGAAAATCCTGCTTCATTGAAATTTGCGTATGATTGTGAGTAGCATGCAGAACATTGAGGTGGTGGTACAGATAGAGTTCCATCCCCAACTATGACCTCATCTGGGAAGCGATTGCTGTAAAATAGAGGATTTGATGTTGTTCACAAGACAGCACAGCAGATGCCATTCTGACTTGTTTCCACTCACCTATCAAACATTTCTGCAATATATCCAGTCAGGTGCTGTCCTAGGTGGTTATGAGCCTCTCGATATGTGGAAACTGATATTCCCTGTGGATATGGCAACTCTCTTCCCAGCAGATCTCCATATCGCACAATCACCACCCTGTAATTCAATATCCTTGTTCGTTCTGACATTCGATTTCATCGAATTAAAGCATCAGAGAAAGTAAGTGCATAAATGCAAGCCTTTATTTTTCCTGATGAACCTTCCAGGAAGACATTTTTGAAAAGAAGGTAAAAGAGGAACATGATGCAAACCTATAACAACAGATGGGGCCAAGGCGCTCAGTTGCCCTGACAAGCAACACTTTGAATATCTGGTTCTCCTCAGAGGATTTCAGCTTCATCCAGGTGAAGCGAGGAAGTTGCTTGGGAAGATTGGGCCCCATGTAACACTCGGATACCTTTGTGACTCGGCTCTTCGTTCCACACTGCCCGTTTCGTGACATGGCACAAACCTGATCACATAGAACAAGTGAAAAGCTTGTTCCCCAAAACTCCAATATGATTTTAAAATCCATCATCACAATATTGAAAACTGATATGCTATCAGCATCTCAAAATTTCAAACAAATGCACATATGTCAATATCAGGTCTGTCAGAGGAGGTGAAAAGTATAAACTAAATTAGGAAAATTTGTCAAAAGTACAAAGTTAATGATTAAAAAAAAAGCTCTCACCTCTGATGCCTTACACAATCAATTACAAACTCATTGAAATTTAAGCATTAGAGCTGCATTCAGAGCCTTTATTTTCATATGCCAAGCACCAGTGAGAGCATTATCCACTGCTAATGATATTTGCTGATACTGATAGTTGAAATGTTGGCAAGTAACCAATATGACTTGAAACAGGGACTTCTCAAATACATGACCATACCTGAATGGTATAATTAGTATTTGGAATGCCTTGAATGGTGAGTGATGAACGGTTATGAGCAGAAAGCACATTTGTATCTTTTGCCTCCTCCCACTCACCAAGTTCATTCAGAAAAACTGATTTTTCTTCGACGAACACCTGAACACAGAACATAGAAATTTAATTGCATGCTAGATCCCTTGAAAACACATGATACAATTCTTTTTGGAATGGAGATGGTGAAGTTTCACATTGATATCAATGAATAATATACAGGCCATATCTAAAATCCAAACCATAAACTAGGAGTTTAAATGGAATGTTTGACAGACTTTGTATTCTGCCTTGAACATCTGTCCATTTGATTGTGTTGGAGGATCCCAGGAGATATGAAGGTAACTCCCATGTTGATCAGACTGGCAATTCACCCGAACCTTCATAGGTGGACTGGCACCTATGAATTCATGAAATCCTAACATCACTAGGTTACTTGTATATGCCCCAAAAGTTTTTTTTTTATCCAAAGGAATAACTGGAACTTACGTCCATCAAGGGTGGATTCATTGGCTGGTTTTGACCATGGTCCACACTCATCTGTGTATGCATTACAAGCCTTCACCTAAAGGGAAAAAAACAGCAATTGAAAGATATTGTCATCAGGAGCACCATTTCAATAACTTATACAATAATAATAACTCCCCATGTATGAAAAGGAAGAACATATAAGTAGGCTTACTTCAAGATAAAAGCAATCTCAAACATGATACAGGTTCCTTTGACTAGTTTCTGAGAACAGAGAGGAACACAAGCATGAATCTCATCACTGTTGGTGTGACTGGAGTTACAGAACACTCCCAAAAAAAAATATGCATTTTCTCTCATTATTGAAAGAGTTGCAGATCGTGAGATGTCACCTGACCTGGAACTGATATGTTGTGCCTGGGTTTAGATGTGTCCATGTATACTGATTCTCCTTCCCACTCTTCACCTCATGCACCCGGTGGAGATCTCCGTCATGAGTCCCCAGAGGAGTAGCCTTCAATTCATAATACTGAACAAAGTCCTGGATGGTTTTTGGTGGAGGATTCCATGCCATGTTTAAGGATTGTGACGTGGAGGCTTTGATAGTGATTTCCGGCTCATATGTCATATCCTCTGTCAAGGTCCTGACAGCAACACTCTCTTCAGACCATGACCCCATGTCAATGGCATTCTTTCCCTGGACTCGTACAACGTAGGCTGTTGATGGTTCAAGACCCATGAGAACAACCTGGCGGTCAGACCCAGCCACTCTCTTGCTGAGGGCAACCCATTCATCACCTCCCTCTTTCATATACTGACACACCAACAAAAAAAAAAACAGGTGTCAGTGAAGCATATGTAAATTTTTGGAACCTAGTAGACATTCAAGGAAACTCACCTGAACATAAAATTGATCCAAGGGAGCATTCCCATCATATACTGTCCAATTCACAAACAATTTCCCTTTTCCCACTCCTTTCACCACATCCAGAGTGACTTTAGGCTTTTCTGCAAGCAGAAACAAGTACAATAACTGTGCACAAGTACAATGCATCTCTCTCATGCAGAATGCTTTCCAGCAACATGTAACAAGATGAGAAAACATTAGTCTGGACCCACCTTGAACGGTGAGAGCCACAAAACTCTCAGCTCTGCCACGAGGATTAGAAGCCTCACATTTGTATGTGCCATTGTCATGTGACTCTGCTTGGAAAACCATCAACTGGTAAACTGTCACAGACTCATTTGCACCTGCCTGTGTCTCCACTTTGAACCTAAACCTCAGAAAAATAAGAGATGCTATAGCATTCATCTGGTGCAAGATTCATAACTGCACCCTTGTCATAAAATCTAGATGCACAAGCTCTGGGGTAGAAATAAGGATAGGCTGACTGAGAATTACTTTATACATACCTTGAATCTGAGGGAAGTGAGACATTGTCTCTGAACCATAACACTTTGGCTGGTGGATGAGCCTTGAAGGAACAACTCAATGTTCCATTGGATCCCTTTCTGACCTTATCTTCTTTTGAATCAATCAGCTCTGGCAGCACTGCATATTCAAAGCCAACACATGATCATTGCTAAGTTGTGAAATGAGACATTTAGACAAAGGGAAAACATTGCAGAGACTCACATTCCACTTCCAAGGAAACATTCTTTCCTATCACATCTTTTGGGCTTCCGGGCAAGAATGCATGGCACCAATAATTACCACTATGAGTGAGCTTCACACATGACAGAGGAAAAATACTAGTTCGAACACCTAACTCCTCTGACACTTCTTCTTTGGTCAAGTTTCTGGAAATGTTTCTTCCCCTGACAGACCAATAAATTTCACCACTGGTTGGCTTTACCCGACATCGCATTGTTACAGTAGAACATTCACTGACGACATTGCCTGGCTCCAATTCCACTGATATGATGTCCAGGTCTAGAAAAGCAAATAGGGAAGCAGGTTATGACCTTGTATGTTGAAAATGATTATGAAGAGTGTCCGAAGCATCAAAGATCATTCCAACAAATTAGGTAGCACATTAGCAAAGGTAGCAAAACAAGAAATAGTTCAGTTGTTTCTCACCAGCATAACCTGGTTTTCATGAAGAAACTGAGCTTCAATGATATTGCCCTGACTCACTTTTGATGGCAGAAGCATCAGCAGGTAGGCCTTGAACTTCATCAAAAAGAATCTTCCAGGCCAAATACAGAAGAGGCAAGGAATAATTCCCCCTATGGTGATGTCTATGCCACCACATCTTTCTGCTGGAGAATAGGTGCTGGAGCTCAAGTCATGAGAAACCTTCCTGACAGCAAACCCCTAAAAGGATAGTACGAAAGAAAAAAAAAACTAGATACAATATCAGCCACTGTTCATAAATCTATGCATTAAGTTTCTCCTCTATTTTTCCTTGGAATCAATGTTTAACAATAATAATGAACTGTTGAAAGCTAATCATTAGCTAAGTTGTATAAAAATTGTAAGCAGGGTCATGAAATGTGAAGAATACAATTGCCTCCCAGCTTAACAAGGGGGTTTCAAGCTGGATATACATGCATGGGTGTAAGCCTTTCTTCTTAGCACACTCATCACATAGCAAAAAGCAAAGGACTTGACTCAATACTTAGCACACTTGACTCAGTACTATATTTCTGCAACATTAGTGTCAACTAGGATTACGAGGTGTCTCTCATATACTTTCATCAACATAATGTTTTTGTAATGTATGGATTACCATCAACAAACAATTCAAAATGTTTTTTGTTAACTTTAACTTCTTCAGACCCAGCATTTGCTAAGAATATGTAAATGCAGACCACAAGGTCAAGGCAGGTTAAAAGAGAGCCACAGCCAGTTACAGATGTAGTGATTTCTGAACTTAATTTTCCCAGCAGTTCAACTAATGAGTTCTGCTCAATCCACTTTAGTAGATAGTGCCAGGGGTGCTTTTGTGTTATGATAGTACAGTCTCCCTACATTTCACAATCCTTCTAAAGTAGAGGGTGTGCTATTCCACTAAGTACAATTCTTAGGTGGATGCTACAATTTCAAGAGGGACAGTCTATAATTGAATATCTTTTGAAAAATTAGCAAGAATTAGTCATTTGGTGTAACCAACTGTACTTACAAAGCCTGTAAAAAAAAAAAAAGAAGAAGAAAAAAAAGTCATGTCATCAGACACAGAGTAGAAATTACAAACATATGGAAAAGAAACAATTCCATTGAACTATGCAGTATTACAGTGCTTCTTTGATGCACCTTGCAGCACATGCCTGTTACCTAAAATATTGCAAAATGGGTGTCACAAAATAATGTATGGATAATGTGCTCTCAAGATAATAAATAAAGGTAGAATAGAATAAAATCCATGAATTTATTGCCCCTAATCTGTCAAGCTTACTGAACTCCTTTGTTTGGAGATATTTAATAATTTCCATCAGGAAAAGACTGAATGTATCTATGTTTTAAATAAACACTTCTTCAGAACCTTGTTCATTTAAGGCCCCAATACATGGTATTTGACTTTGATATAAGAAAAAAGTGGAATATAGGGAAAACAAGAGAACTTGGACTATTTTTCTGTCTAAATAGCACATTTAGGAAAAAATCTTTTGTGACAGAAAATAGAGCCCCCCCAAAATGCAACATGCTGTAATAGTACATGTTGCACACAGCATGTTGCAACTTGTATCAAACAGCTCTGCATTGAGTTGAATGGATGTGCTGCATGGCTCAAATGTGGAATTTCTCCTCTCACCCCGTAATCAGTACAACCAGCCTCACTTGCCCTTGTGACTAATGTGACAGGATCTATTTGCATGTTTTGTGACCGAATAAGGTAATTTTTTTTAGATATGAATGTGACTTAGAAGTTCATCGCACCAGCAAAGGGGGGCTTGATATTATACTGATAAAATTGTGCAATCAATCAAAAGTAGCTTTATCTTGAAATGAATTGTTTCTGTTAGTGGAGGGACATAAAAGTGTGAGATGATCTCTGCAATAGACTCCTGTAACTTCATTCCTCATAAGTACCAGCTAGCAGAAAGAATAAGCAGAAGACATCCATGATAGATGGCATTAGTGAAAGTTTTTACAGAATGATTGAATGCAAATAAATTCCCACAAGAAGTTTGCACCATATCAATGGTACAACAGGAAAACTACACTAGACGAGTTCCATCACCAACGAGAACATCGAAGAAACAACCAACACCCTTAATCTGAGCGTTCGGGTCAAGTTGCGTACAGTCGATGCGTTAAAGTTTCGTTGTTTTCCTCTACCTGATTCCATAACTGCTAGACTTAGCAAAAAAAATAGCAAATAACACCTGCATAGACTATGTGGAATTGCGGTGAACGTGAAACTAAGTCAGAAAAGAGCACGCGAATAAGATCGCGACATGAGGAGAGTCAGACTGATGGGAAGCAACAAAGCTACGAGCACACAACACCGAAAGGTAGGCTAAGCCTAACGTCATTTGACATTCGTAGTCTCTTTCTAACTGGGAGGAATCAAGATCTAGACAAAGCAAAGGTCTGCATTTAAACGTATATTATAAAACAGTCAGTTTTCATTGCAACCTGAATGAGCATTATCTAGCCCTCAAAATGGAAGTTTTCTCTTATCGTAATCCACGGCGGAAGACTTATCAGACAGCAAGCAGCCATCTTGCATGAATCGCTCCATGTCCGGAGACAAGGATGTCGAACCTTGTAATCACCCTCATCGTATATGTATAGACAATCTTGATCGACTACTGTAACTCAGCTTATTCTAACTGTGTTACTGGTGAGATTTAAAGCATTGTACACAAGTAGCCGTTGGGGCGATAAATTCAGGAAAATTTCTACCTTTGAGATACATCCACTGGTGGTGTACATTGTGCAAAAACTCTCATAGTTGTGAAAAATAATTCCATGTGGGAGCCTTGCGGGAAGCTAAAAATTCACCCTACCCCTACATATTCCATATTGGTTTAAGTTTCTTCGGAATTGGGCAGTACCCCCTGTTTATCTTTATGACAGTCGGTGAATTCAAAGAGAGTGGCTTTCGTTTGAAGTACAGGGTGTTTAAAAAAAAAGTCAATGCTACGAGAATTAATATTTCTTGTACGAATGAAATATCTAGTGACAGTTAACATGAGAAGAGATTAAGCTTTCGATCGCTATTAATTGCACGAAGATCAATGAACTCAGAGGCGAGATATGGAAAGACTATATTTATATTAACAGACACTGGTGAACCACTGCAAACAGCCTATGGAAGAGAACCAGTCAGTGCAGGCACTCGATGAAGCCAGTGATCCGCGAGTGTCAGAAGACACTTCACTCAATTCTTGGGCATCTGCCAGCAAAGGTGCTGCAGAACTAGTTGAATCTAAGAATCTTCTTGGTGACCAAGCACACCTCGAACACACCTTGATGTCCTCTTGTGATGGTTTTTAAATTTCTTCAAATGTAATTTATACTGTTTCATATCTCGCTTCAAAAATGGTCGATTTTCATGCAGTTTTCGGGAGAGAAAGCTTACTATCTCTTTATAATTGAAGCATAAATTTTTTTGAAATTCAATATAATACAAGAAAAATCCATTATTACAGCATTGACTTTTTTGAGACACCCTGTACTTCGCGGTAAGAACTGGTGGCGGATCTCCATTGAGTTCACTTGGGAATTACAGTGTCCAAGGATTTGTATGGGGAGCTGTTAAAATGGGGTGGTAGCTCCATGGTGTTCTCACAAATTAAGGTTTGTGAGTCCTCTCTTGGAAAGTGGCCTACACTGCCATGAATTTCAACCATTCTTTTATGTATGAAACATAATCAAATTCCAGAGTTGCAACAAATGACACAGTATAGGTTTCAAACGAACATTTTCCTTTATTCAGGGCACATAAGCCCTCCTGCAATTGCCTTGAAGTAGAAAGAAAAAGGAGAGTAGAGAAAGTCAACCACATCATTGAAAGTCATTTACATACTATTGCAATCACAAAGGGAAGCAAGATCAGACCACTGCGACAAACTTGATTGCCCGGGAAATAGAATCTCAGTCTTATAAAAGAAACAGCAGGTCATGTCATGCTTCCTAAAAAGCACCAGCACATCTAGAGGATACCACACAATTAATTTCTCTAAAAGCCCATCATGAATGTTGCTCCCAGACCCCAAATCATTAGTGAATCCTGCTACTCAGTGAGAAATATTACTAATAATTCAACATCATGGGGGGTGCATCATATTTCAAACATAGATAGAAGTTTAAGAACTACATGAATTTACTGACATACAGGTGATGGATGCAATCATGAATGGAAGAATAACATAACACCTGGTTGGATGGTATAAAAGTAAATGCGAGGCAGTAAATGCAATGCCCTGAAAAAAATTGGAGTTCCAGCCTTAAGAAAAATTTAAAAGATTTCTCTGCAGGTTAAATATTGAGGATGTTGCAGATGTTGCAGTAGATATCGTTCTCACTGAAAAAGCCTAAGGAGCAAGGTGAATTCTTGCAGATGCAATACAGGGATGTGAAACCATTTCTGAAATATTATTTCACTTCTAAACAGACTCTTCCCCATCACCTTACGAACTTGACTTACGAACAACAAGGCAAATCACAAAGCAGATCACTCAAGGAGATGCGAGTGGCACTGGAGGGGAATCCCTCTCTCAAGAAACACTGTCAAGACATAGAGAGAAAAAGGTCTGAAGTATCACAGAGGAATGGAGACATGCAGCTGAACATTCTCTGCTATAAGGGGTCAATGAGTGGACGAGTCTGTGATGCATCCATGTGCAATCGCTTCCCTGGACTCCGATATTCCACCTCCACTGGACCTGTCAGACCATATTTACATGGATTTTGCCTTTGATTGCTATTTGTTCAATTGAATATTTGTTCAAATGCCAATAATTCCCTCCTTGATTTGGAAGAAACAGATATTTGGAAATTGTAAAGGTGATGCAAATGTCATGTGATACATTGACATCCAGCATAGGGTGATCAGGCAATCACCACCTCATCCTAAATATGGAGTAACATTGTATGTACACCTTTATCACCCAATCTCATAAAATTCCACCATCTTGCATCTCAAAAGTACTGATAAAGAACGAAAAACATTCCCTGGGCTTGGCAAGATCCACGAGAGGGATGATCAGTTAGCTATCTATATCTGATCAATTTTAACTCTTTCGCTACAGTGGTCTGCAGTGCAGTGTCACACCGCAGCTAGTCCTCTCTAATCCATATTGATTCTACTATGCAGTGAAAGGGTTAATGAACCTTTTAACTTGCATTTTTTTATGAATTTCTTCTAATGAACTGGTAGCCCAAAACACAAGAACTAAAACACTTTTTCATTCTCAAATTTATTATTAGAGGAAAGGTATGGAGAGTGTTTGTATCCAAGAATAGCTTAAAGTTATCAGTGCAAAGTGAGTACATTAACAGTCTCTTAAATCTGCTCCCATTTTGCTGACATACACATCAGACAATCATTTAATTTGACTTTTCAACTTGGTTAAATGCCCAGTGCCAATGAAGGGAAATGATGTTCAAGAAGCTAAAGCCCCCATGCCTTTCATAGTCTCTCAAGGAATTCTATTTTTCCACATTAAAGATGAGGTGAGACAGATCAAGGATCTTTCAGAGAAATGAAACCACATTTCAATGGCATCTCAACGGAAATTGAAGGATAAGTAATATAGTGAAATACCCACATTGATACTTCCAAAGCTGAAAAATTCAACCATGCTCAACGACTTTTGAAATACAGCATGCTTGCTTACCTGAGTTTCTCCTTGGGATATGGAAAGTGGGCAGCAGCTTTGGGTTCTCTGGAATGAAAGCAGCCACCAGCAGGCCACAAATGACTAGAAATGCTCCAAAAACAAATGGTGGTCCAGGCACCAGCTGAAAGCAAAAGGGAACAATCAAAGGAATAAACTGATCAAATAACCACCCAATACATCAGAGAAAGAGACAGTACTAAAAAGCTACCTCTGCTTAGATTTAGTAGAATCAATTTAATAAATAAAGAAGAAACATTGACTAACTTAGGTGTAGCAAGACAGTGATGAGTCTATCATATTTAAAAGACCTAACAGCCAGAGTAGGTGACAGAGATCAGAAGCATAGATAGAACTGCTGTCTTTAGGAGCCTGGAGAGTTTTGTCACTAGTAATTATGAAAAACTCTCATATCCCTGTATGACCACTGACCATTATAAGCAAAGTCAAGATATTTGAGCCCAAATGCTTTCAAAAACAGATTTTTCAATCAGCAACAAATCAGCAAAAATCTGGCCCTACCTGCTCGGGATATGCGGCAGTAGTGGTTCATCAATGGAGGCAGGGGAGGCCAGCCTCCTCTTTCTTCATTGACGAAGCACTACTGCTGCATATCAAGAGTTGCCACTGCTAAATGCCTCTTGGAATTATGCCATCCACTTTTGCTATGATCAATGCTGAGTTGTCACAGAGCACTGTAACCATTCACAAATTCTCAATAACATTTCCAATTCTCCTTTTTTTCTGACTTCCAAGTTCACAACAGAATTTTCCAGCATGTAATATATTCTGATAATGCTGCCTTACTTGATAAAGCATAAAACTTTAAGAATTTTGTCACCAATCAAGGAAAAGCAGACTGTATTGCCTAACAATTGAATAAAGAAGCATTTCAGTTTCATCCTAAGATTAAAAAGTAGATCCTTGAGTTTACAAGAAAAAACCCAATAACAACAAATCATTTCCAAATGCCTCAACCCAATATTGACTGTTAAAAAAATAGAAAAAGGGGCCTCCCAGCCTATTACTGCTTCAATCTTATCACTTTGACATGTTTTCATGTTCTGTGAAAAACTGGAGGCTACCAAGTGAAGACTTTTACAAGTACAAAGAAGCAGGAACCCCTGCTAGGTTCTTCCTCTTCTATTATGATGAAGCTATAAAGTGAACCTAAAGGTATCATTTTGGTCTGATCAAAAGTACCAGGCCACAAATGGAGTAAATTAAAAAAAAAATAGCAGCATATGAAATGGGTTTCAAACTGACATCAGGAATATCATATGTTCAAATGTCATACCAGAGTGTCATGGAATGGAGCCAGGGAAGAAGGAGTGGAAGAGGAGGGGAGAGTGGCATTTTTGAAACCATGCAGAATCCCATGATCCCTAGCAGGGGACGTTTCTTCACTACCATTTAAATCCACATGGAAAAGATAGAAGATGTAACCAAAGAGGGCTGGTCCAATTCCATTACACAGCCCTCGCATGCCTGTTACCATTCCTTGTACCAGACCTGAAACAAAACAGATATATGCTCCATATATATTTAGATCTACAACCATGAGGTCTACATCCTTGTGAATGAACCAAAGACACTAACCTTGCTTATCAGGTCCTGCATGCATGGAAACAAAGGCAGAAAGTGCAGGGTAGGAGATGCTTGAAACACTTGCTAGGACACCTGCAGACCACATCATCCTGGAGGGAAATTTTTCTCATTTGCAATAAGTGAAAGGCAATCAATGGGATTTTCATCTTTCTGATACAAGATTCCTGCACAGCTCACCATATTTCAGAGCCAAAGCCATATGCAATAAGCTGAAGCATCTCAAAGATAAGGCCAACCATGATTGAATGTTTAGGGCCAACAATCTTCATGAGAAGCCCCAAGAGAGCTGTTTGTGCTCCAACAGATAGAATACCCACCACAGCAATGTACAGAGCTACAGCCTCAGGACTGAATCCAATCACCTAGAAATGAATCACATTCCCAATAAAATATTATTTTGCAAATCACTGATGTAGTGAGGTTTACCTATGACTTACCAAGCGGAGGTAGACAAAGAAGCAGGAGTATTCACCAGCTTCCGGAAGATACGACAGGAACACAGTAAGACAAATCATCATGATGGTTGGATCATTCCCAACTTTCCTCAGAGACTGGTGGGAAGGAAAGTATCTTCAAGTTATTCATACTCTCAAGAATACAAGAAAGGCAGAGTTACCAAAAAGAGGCTGTAAATAAAGATTATTGACTTTTCTGGGTCATTCAATCCATTTAGAGAATGACTTTCCACACTAACATTTGAAATTTCATATACAAGCTCAATCTTCCCCATATCACAGTCAGATCCTTTCATTTTCTTTATGAGTTTATGGGCTAACTTCACTCAGGCTATAGCAGGCTTTTCTTTTCTGTTAGGTTTCTTTAACTGTCAAGATTCTCCAGTTCTATGGGAACACGAAAAAAGGCAAGCAAAGTAATTCTCAACTCACAGCAAAAGGATCAGCTTGTTCCCATGTGAGGGATGAGGAGAAAGTAGAGGGATCTTTCTCTCCAAGAGATTCAGGGACAGCAACCAAGATGAAGAAGACATCCAAGAGTGCAATGGCAGAAGCCAGAGCCACAACCATCTGTGTTCCATACATACTGACCAGGTAGGCTCCAAGGCCAGGGCTGGTCACCAGACTAGCAGCAAATGTTGCCGACACCTGCCTCATACGATAATACCACTTTATTACCCTCTTTAAACAAACTTCTTCAAGTTTTCCATGACATCTACCAGCCAATCAAACATGGATGGAGAATCAATCAGTGTGCAATGGAATCAATCAAAAGTCATCAAGGCTAATGACAGCCACCATGGATTGTGTGAGGCAGAGATAAGGTTGACAGATAGCACATATTCAGTGCAAATGATTACAAAGTGAGACAAAATTCTGACCATCTTATCTTAACCTTATTATATGCCCCCTACATTCCCAAATGGATGATTTGGAGTCTATACAATTCAAAGGGAAAGTGCACAAATTGTCCTTTCATGTTTTGAGACCAGATATAGGTGTAATTTGGTTGAATATGGCAGATTGGATTTCTTGCTAAGTTCATTTACAGGGTGGCTAAAAAAAAAAACCAAGCTATTGACTTCAACGTGCTGTAAATCAGGCTGCAGTGCCTTGATTTGAGTAAGCTTTTAGAAACATGAAACAACACTTTTACAGAAGATATAAAATTATATGGCATATCACAAATTTTTTGCTTCATCAGGATGAAAATGGCCATCCCCATTTGGAAAACTGCTGCAACAGTACCTGGCTGCCATTTGAGTTGGAGCAGAAATAGCTGTTGTTATTAAGAAAACACTTTATCTTCTGCATGGGTGGAGGGGCATACCATGGAAGTATGGAAATTGTATGAAGCAATTAAAAATTGAGTACTTATGCCATAATAATGTTGAAGTTTACTCTACACAGCATGAAAATTGGAGGAAAAAAAGGGAACAATCAACGGTCAGGAGTGGATTCTGTGCTCATGCTACTCAATAATGATTTGCTGCTCTATTGAATGCATTCACTGCCTTCTCGATGTCCTTCACATTGTTCAATAATGAGACAAGTGATACAAAGAAGCAAATGCATAATTCCTTGTCAAATGACACAGAGTAGCTCAAAGTGATTAAATATGAAAGCATGGAACAGTCCTAATACTATTAAAAAGAAAAAACAGTGACCCACAAGTCCATAAGCAGCACTCCTGTCTTGTTCTTCTGTGACATCAGCCACATAAGCAAACACCACAGAGAAGGTCACAGCAAAGACTCCAGATATTGAGATCATGGCAAAATACCACCTAAAAAAAAGGATTCTCAGATTGCAAAAATTGAAGTTATTTCATGCATGAGACAGAAAAATTGTTTCACCAGGTGTTGATAATCATGAGGGGAATGGGTGCACATGTGAAGAAGACAGTGAGTAACAGGAAGAGTTTTCTCCCCCAAATGTCTGATAATGCACCGATCAATGGGGCGCTCAAAAATGACAGCAACCCCTGGGGAAAAAAGGAAGAGAAACTAACTCAAATGCAAGCCATCAAGACATTGGCACCAAGGAAGTCCATTATAACATCACTAACTGTATTGCCAATCAGTTTGGAACCTGATTTCCAAATTTATCCAATTTTGCTTATCTGATATCATTATTAGTGCAACTGAGGATGCAGGAGAAGCAAACCATAACAAGTTTATACAGACAATTTGGTTGCTTTATATATACTTGTTTCCCATGCATTTCCAATCAATTTTCTAACTTCTTCCTGTCTTTAGCCAGCAACTAAAAAAATATTTCATGTTCATGAAAGAAACTTCACCCATATAAGAGTGAGAAAAGAGTGACACCACATTCTGATGCAATTTATTACCCTCATTCTTTATGTTATAAAAATAGAAATTTATGTCCTTTGAAAATCAGTTAGCTAGTTTTTTTTAAATAATAACCTGAAAATCTATAACCCTAATCTTTAAGTAATTCCAAGATTTCCTGTGCACCTGCAATGTCTGATAGTATGACATCAACTCATCAGTACTACTTGCAGAATTCATAAACCCCGATCTTTTCTTCCATGTCTAAGCTTCATATTCCATAAAGTCATTTAAAGTATTGATGCATTGTGCAAATTCAACTGTACCAATTAATCAGCAGGTCTTATGAATAGAGGGTATAAAGTCCCAAGAACAATATGCCAGGTAAAATAGCCTCTGCCTCATATCTCATCCAAATATCAGCAAATCTCATATCAAGCATAATATCAAGACATGCAACTGAAGTCATGAAATGCTGCATACCACAACATTGGCAAAAGGGCACAAAATAAAAGTGAGTGCTTCAGTAGTCTTAAAATGTCTTAACTAGAAAATCAGACATCACTGAACAAAATTCTAACAGCACACAATAAGATAGAGGAGAATGCAATAAAATGCATAATTTTCATGCCTTAGCCAGTTCAGTGCCCTTCTTTTCGAACATCAGTCCTTGTCCTCATACTTACCTTAATGCCAACAATAAGTCCATTCATCAGAAAAGTATGATCTGGGAAGGTGTCATTCAGGATCTACAGGAGAACCAGATTTTAATATTAAGTTCTCAAAATAAAGCCACTTTCCTATGGTTACCATATAGATGACAGACTTACAGTGATCATGGGTGTTGTAAGGAGTCCCCAAGCAAAGAACTCCAAAAAGATGATTACCAGTGCATGATAAATGCTTGGTTCCCCAATGCCAGAAGTCTGCAAGAATGACATGAGGCCAAAAGGGAAAAATAACAATATCACCCTTGGCTTCCAAGTTCACAATTTATTGTAAACTTACCCAACCAATTCTCATTGTTCAGTTTCATTCAAAATATCAGCTTGAGAATAAAAATAAATGGAATAGGAAAATCTTTTATACCAAAAACATGGAACACAACATTCACTGATGTAAATCTTAACATCAAAATATTAAGATTCTTGGCTTTAGATAAGTTTCAAGGGTTTGGTTGTCTGCATCCATTGTCTATGCTATATATATTTTTAACCTTGGGTAAACTGCAAAGCAAAAAAAAATGTAAAGCAAATTCCACAGAATATTTAAAGTTATGCTTCAGATATCAACTTCAGAACATAGTATTGAGATTATTTGTACTTGTCTGGTAATCACTAGGCCTTCAGCATCACAACATCTTTCCTTTCAGTCGCTATATTGCAATTGAGAACCAAAGAATCAACATCAGTTCATTGAGACATGAAGATGCAATGACAAAACTCTTTCAATTTTTATTTATGAAAAAATTAGGGATTCAAAAGTAAGGAAATTCTTTCTGGTAATTCCTGCAGTTTTTCCACGGCTTCCCTCCATGCCCACTTTCATTGTGATATCACTTTAATTTTCTGATGAATACCTCACCTGCCTGTCTTGAAGATTTCCCAAGACTCAAACCACCATACAAAACCATCACATCACAACTATTGTTGTGATGAGATGGCTCAGCGAATATATCACTCAAAAATCCACAACATGGTTGTCATGAGGGGAGACCTTTTACATATGATTTTCAGCAAAAAAGAGGATAAGGGAATGATTCCTGTGAAACCCCTGAAGTATGGAACCACTGGTTCACTTCTTAAATCACCAAAAGGAACAATATGCTACCTGCTGTATTAATCGTCAATCCAATTGAAAGTACTTCCCTTGTTTGATAATAAAGCAACTTCTTCAGCAGAACCTTGTGTTTCAGTGTTAAAGGATTTCTTTCATCAAGGAATCAATTCTATCAGACCTATTTCTGTAAAATTCCTTTCCAAGTCCACAATGAAAATGAGTGATGTGCTTTACACAACACATGAAGGTTAGTGAGTTAAGACTAAAAATCCTGGTTTCCTACTCTAATACTTCTTCACTATTCAAACTTTCCTAAACAAGTCAAAATTCAGCTTTCCCAAGGATGTACTGGTTGTCTTGAAAAATAGTTCCCAACTATACATGCCTACAGATGGAACACCATTTGTGATGTAAACAGGAAATTTATAGATGTTAGTGTTACATTTAGGAGTATCCCAAAAAAATTTCAATGAAAATTGGTTGAGAAAATGAGTGAACCTTATTTCGACAGATGTCAAATGAATCTCAGTCTATGCAGCCAGAGTTCAGATGCAGACAGATTTTAAAGATTAAATTCATTGAATATTTCAAGAAACCACCAGCACCTGCAACATGATACAACTTGCAAATGTCTAATCTGATGTTCCATCTAAAACCCTGTAAAGTTGAGTACATTTTTTCCCTGGGGGGAAAACACTTTTGACTTATTCCAGCAAATTAGGATATCCCAGGAATGAGGAAGTACTGGACATTTGTATTAACCCTTGAATAATACCTCCACATGTGGTGTGAATCACATCTCTCTACTAGCACTAAGGATGAGAGAGAAATAATAAAAATACTTCCATTTTAATGCCTTTAATTAGGTTTTATCTTACTAGAGTAAAAAACCATCTCAGTTTAGATATTACTTAAGTTTGGACACTATCACATAAATTGTTACAAAACTAAGCAACTCTCCCTCAGAACTTGTTTATTCATAGCTCAGAAGAGCTATTTCTGAGAATGACCTCATAAATGCTTTGTTTTATAACAATTTATTTTATGGTGTCCAAACTTTGATGCTTTTACCCAACTTTCAATATTGTCCTCTATATCTAATGTTGGTCAAGCATTAATGTTTTAAATATAAATTGCCAAAAAACATATGCTCATTTTGGTAGGTCTTCTTACAATCTTGATATTCTGAAGAAGGCAGATGAAGATGGCCTGCTGATGGCAGGCTTGGTTGATGTTAATGTAATCATGCTGCAGATACAATAACATATTAGGCTATAGATTCCAGAGAGGCCCAGTTCTGACATACAATGAAGCCATCCTTCATGATGTGGCGCCTGCTGCGTATGATGATGCCAACAACTCTCTTGGAAAACTTGCCAGCCATCTTCTTCCCCTTCCACAACCTTCCCCTTCCTCCTCCTCCACCTCCACTTCCAAGTCCACCCCCAGCTCCCGTTTTGGCAGCAACCATTCAAAATCAATCACAACAGTCCTCTAGAGGCCAGGAAGGCCCAGATACTTTCACCAATGAGAGATTTTATTTCCAGCCACTCCATTTGACAACTAGACCTGACTTGAAACAAAAGAATATGAACTAGATTAATTCCGTTTTTAGAATGATCTATAAGTAAGAAATTAGTGAATTGTGAGAACTGTGTCTTACTTTTTAATGGCATGCTACAATAATATAAGAGTTTGTCAACCTCCCTCTTGGATGAGTTATAGGCCTAGTGAGCTTTTGCCTCACCCTACACACTGAAAATTACATTTCATGCATCTGGGTTAGTTTCTGCTGACATCAGGTCTAGTCTAACTGGAGCTTGGAGATTAATTAGAACGCAATTGTATGCCTAACTTCGGAAGCCTAGGCTATGCTATACAGTATCGGTTTCAAATGAACGCAACTGTGGGTCCTGTATCTTGGTTTACTAAGAATTTCTTTGTCCGAAAAGCTACAGGTAAAGTGCGCTGAGCCACTACGCTTAGTCATGCACCATATCTGTGGATGAGGAGAAGGCGGACTTGTGCTATGTGGGCTTCATTCCAATAAATTGGGCGGCGCCATGTCTGTATCTGCTACCAATGGCGCGCAGAGGAGAACAGTGTTTCACATTCATCCCGCTAGATGTGAGAACAAGCGCTTCTTAACCAAGGCCACAGCGTCCGAAACCCGGAACGACAGTTCCTGGAGAGAAAAAAGCTAAACCAATAGCTTCCCATGGCGCCATTTCCTTTTCAACTGCATCAGCAACAGCTGTTTCCACTCTCCCTTACAGAATTATCGATCTCTTGCTTATTTTTTCTTTAGATTGCCTAGTCTTCGCAGTCTCTATATCAGCGAATTGCATATCAGCATATCAATAGAAAGCAAGTCTTGGTAGGTCCACGCTAATATGATATGCTAAATGAGGTTTCGTGCAATTAGCGCAAATTTACAGTTTTTTGAACAAGCTAGATACGATTTTACGATCAGCTACAAAGAAAATCAGATTCCCATGAGAGATATTTATGGAATCGAGTCTGCTGGATATATCCCATATCATTTATTCGCTACATGTGCGTTTATTTATTTATTATTTGTAGTAGTATTCATTTACATATTTTCCTGATACATAATCAGGCTTTTTTTGTTCATATACTGAAATCATGTAATCATAGTAGTGTCGTTGTGCATGTTTACTTTTTGCTTGAATTATGAATACATTACCCTGCTCATTTTCAGAGGGATGCATGACAGGTCCTTAAAGACTTGAAATATTCGCAATGGATAAAGCGCGCTCTCTTGTACTTTACGCACCTTGCACAAGTAGAACTTCATCAACTCCGACTTAGTCCTGCTCTCTCTTTCTCTCTCAGTTTAGAGAACAGTTACAGTAAGAATCTTTGTGGAGTAAAACCAGTTATCATGCACTCCTCATGCTTCCAACTCACGTTCGCGCTCGTGCGTAGAATGAAAAAAAAAATTTGTAGACTTGTCTAGTTTCCCAAGGTCACCGAGTCCTTTGGGATTTACCGTAATAGGCCTACTCTGATACGTGTAAATCCGGAGTGCGTATCTTGAAGGTAGACATCCCAGGCAGTCGAAAGGGAAGACGGAGATGAGCTTTTCAGAGCGAGAGTCCCACCTTTACTCCTAATCCCTGGGAGCTCTTGGGAGCTCCCTGGGAGCCCTTGGGAACTTCATGGGAGCTTCCCGGGAGCTCCAGAATTATTTTGCATTGTCGGGAGAGAGAGACATTCTATTGTGGCTGAATTTCTTCCGGAAATTCCCTCAACAGATTGCAAGAACCCCATCCTCTAGCACAAGGTTAGTCCATAAAATGAAATGGAGTAAATGAATGGCCCAAGGAAAACGTGAAGTCAATGTAAACCGCACGAAGCAAAAGGACAACTTCTTTGAAGTCTTCCGGACTGCAGTCACGACTCCTTACAGCGATCACATCAACATACAGCCTTCTTGCGCCGAAGAAATGGTTCTTTTAAGTGTATTTAGGAAGTCCCCTTTGTTTTACTGCAGAAATGCAGATAATCAAGGGTGAAGGCTGAAGTAGACAGGAATGTCAAGAGGCACTCATCGCTCATTGTGACGTCCGGTGTCAAGGTCGCGCGTTTACGCACGATAAGATAGGCACATCCCTCCTAAAAACCAATGTCTTTGTGGGGGCATATCCATCAACTATCCAGCTACACTGCTCCCTTTTTTTGTTATACCCTTGATGACAACCTCTTGAAGCTATTCACGGTGAGAGGAGCCGTTACACATCCCTCACATTTCCTCCCTCAAGCCGAGTCTCGTTTGGGGTTTGCGCAACTCGAACTGGTTTCCTCTCGTTCTGCTGTAACCATCAAGTTGGAAGAATTTGCAACGCTCCACGTAATCGATTCCTGTAATGATCTCCCAAGCTAAAGGAAGGAAAACTTTCGAAGAAATCCAGAGCATTGAAAATCTTGCTTCCTCACCACAAAAGTTTTATTTGTAAATCTTTAATAAGCAGGACCGTGGCATCCCTTGCCTGGACCCCACCTTTTCTTCCTGTATTGTTCACCGTGTAAAGGTTGATGTAAATAAATAACATACCTGTTACCATGGGGAAGAGAGTGCTAATGGAACTATCACAGAGGAATGGATCAGGCTGCAAAGTAAATTCAGGTTGCACTGCTCCATTCGCATCCTTATCATCCTCATTTTAATTTTTG